AGTTAAGTGCTTGACTGCTAGCCAAAAAATTCATGGTTCGAACCCACTCAGAGACACCTTGGAAGATGACAGGCATGACAATCTACTTCTTAAAACCCCTAAGAAGTTTTACTCTGCACACACGGGGTCACCATGAGTCAGAATCAAGTTGGTGGTAACTAACAACAACAAATATGTAGGACGTTAGTATATACATTCTATGTCCAGTTCAATTTGGAATATGCTAAAATAGAAACTTGTTTTTTCCCCAGAAATAAAATACTGTCATTTTAGTAAAGATTCATATAGCAATTTCTATACAAGTAGTAGTTCAGTGACATTGGTTACATTCTTCACAATGTATGAACACTTTCTTACTTGTATTTCTGTTCTGCTTGTTCCATTTCCAGGGAAACTCTAGTTTCCCTGCTCTTCTTAGTCTCCTCTTTGCTTTAAAGTAATTGTTGATCATTTGGTATCATATAGATTTTTTTTTTAAAGCACAGTATTTACAGGTAATACTAATTTTTTAAAGAAATTATAAACCTTTGATCATAAGGAGAGGCTATGTAAAATCCAATGGTCATAAAAAGTTATAATTTAAATCCATTTCCCCCCTCAAGCTTGTAATTAGAAGTAACACTCGAATTCACTGATTCTCCTTTTATTCTGCATTTCAAAATATTAATGAGTGATATGATCAAAAAAAAAAGAAAAGAAAAATGACAGGTCCTGACTGGCAAGTACAAAAATGGACAACCACCATCCTTCCCATAGTACTCTCTTAGCTGGGTTTGATCATGCATTGCAATACCCACATAGAACTCAGACATCATATTCACAGTTGTGGGGTTTACTAGGGAAATCACCTAGTTACTAATCAGGATCAGAAATGTTCAGGTCACAGTTCTTCAGTCAGGACAGCCTCTACTTAGCTGTGCCCACCAGCAGACCTCTCTCTGGCCCTCAACCCTTGACCTGACCTCTGCCCTGCTCTGGTAATGTTACAAAGCTCTTTTAGGGCTGCTGATAAATATTTCCAGGGCACCCCACTCCAACATAAGCCTCAACCTGAAGGCACTCAGCTCCAGCTCTACAGGTCAGCAAACCTAGCTCCCCCAATTTAGTGCCTTAGGACACCCAACATTGCAAGCAAACCCAAAGTCACTCAACTTTACTTACTCCGTGGGGCTGGGAAGCCACCACTCTGTCTCATGTTTTAGTTCTTGGTGTTGCTGCTACTGCTCCTCTGATGTCATTCTGTACCTAAGTTAAGGTTCAGTGTAGGAATATTAGCAGTCCAAAGGATACACTCCACTCCTGACTCTTCCTTGTTGGTAGTGAAGCCCCACCTCCACTTCTGAGATGGCTCATTTTATACCCAGCAGGGTGGCAGATTTGACGAATCACACTTAGCCCTGTTAACAATCACTCACAATTGAATCATATAATCCGTCAGCGTCTCCCCCCACCTTTTGTTACTCAGATGTGTCAACAGTAGTGAGGTTGGTCCAGGATCGGACATCGTTTCGTTCTGCTGTGCATAGGGTCGCTATGAGTCGGTGCCGACTCAATGGCACCTAACAACAACAAACAACAACATCAGGAAAAAGTAGTTTAGTGGGAGTTTACAAACAGTGGCTAGAAGAGACATTAAAAATTTCACTGTACCACAGCAAGGCTGTGGAGAAATTAGCCAAAGTAGAGGGTCAGCAAAAAAGAGATAGATTAACACAGTGCCTGCAACAGTAGACTCAACGCATGGCAATGATTGTGAGGAAGGTGCAGGACTAGGCAGCGCTTCATTCTGTCATACGTGGGTAACATTAGAGCCAACTCACTAGCACCTAACAGCAATAATCCATTGCTGGTAGAAATTCAAAGCGGTATACCACTGTGGAAAACAATAGAGTGGTTCCTTAAAAAGTTGAACATAAAACTACCATATAACCCAGCAATTCCACCCTTAGGTATACACTCAGAAGAACTGAAAACAGGAACACAAACAGAAACCTGTACATCAGTGTTCATTGCAGCATTTTTCACAATAGCCTAAAAGTGGGAAACACTGTGTATGGGACATATTTTCTTGTTTCTTTGTATGATTTTTTTTATTTTTATTGAAAACTGGACATTTTAAATAACATCATGTGGCAACTTTGGAAATCAGATTCTGTCCCTGCCTCAGCGTTTGTAGGGTGTGTTGGTTTGTTAGTGACTTTTCTGGAAAAATTAAAATTATATTCTTTGTCATGTGTGACTACTAAAATCTGTTAGCTAATTGGTAAACTAAAGAGAACTGTTAAAACATCAAAAAAGAAAAGACAAGTCACAAACTGAAAAGGGTGTTGGGGGGAAGAGAGAGCTGCTAAGTCTGACTCTTGTTTATAAACATGGTGACTGTATGTACAACAGAATGAAATGTTGCCCCGAGTTCATAGCTACAGCTTCTGTGCCAATCCATCTCACCAATGGACTCCCTTACCCTCATTGGTTTTCTGCTTCACCAAATATAATTTCTTTCTCTAGCAATTCATCTCTCCTAATGATGACTCCTGGTGTGGGACTATAGGATAAGCATTGGACTGCAAACCACAAGGTTAGCAGTTCAGACCCATGAACTGCTCCTCAGAAACCCTATACAGGGTTGCTATGAGTCAGAACTGACGCAATGTCACTTAATAACAATAGCAACGATGTGTGCAAGGAGACCTCGTATCATTGGGGATTATGCATTGGGCTACTAAGCACAAGGTCAGTGGTTCAAATCCACCAGTCTTTCCACAGGAAAAAGATGAGGCTGTCTGCTCCCATAAACATTTACCAGTATCAGAAATCCTATGTCAGTTCGATATGAATCAGATTTGATTTGATTAAAGTGGGTCTGTTTTTTGTTTTTGTATTTTTGTGCAATGATATATCTAAAGCAAGTGAGCCAGACAGTGTTCTGGTGTGAGTCTTAAGATTTCGATTGACTAATTTTCAGAAGTAGATCACCTGGCCTTTCTTCCTAGTCTTATTCTGGAAGCTTTGCTGAAACCTGCCTACCATGGGTGACACTACTGTTGAAATACCAGTGACATAGCTTCCAGCATTACAGCAACATGCACACCACCATGGGACAACAAACTGGAAGGTGGATACCATCTAAGTTCATATTAAGAATACATAGATAAACAATTTGATGAATATGACCAATACTCATGGAGGTAGTAGCTCAAAATACCAACAGAGAGGGAAGGAGTCTTCACATCAAATATCAATGCTGTCCACTCTGTCTACAGGGTAGGTAGGGGCAGGCAACTTAGACATTGGCTACCTAAAATGAGGGGGAGATAAAGGCACAAAGTGACTGGCTTACAAAGGTTTCAAGAGGGAGCTTAGTTTAAGAGGGTGTGGGCAAAGATAGAGTCCCCATTGAATAGTTTTCATCTTGTCTAGATGGGTCTGGTAAAAAGAGATGGGGATAAGATTCTTATGATTCAATAGTGAGTAATTGTTATCATGACTAATTGTGACTGTCACAATTGTAAAGGTTTTGTAACAAAAACGGGAGGTAGATAATCTTACAGTCCAGAAACAGTGGACCCTAGGACCATCAAGGGAGAAGAG